ATTTTCTCACTTAAAAACATATTAAAACTACCCACTGATCACAGCAAATATAGCTGCAAGGCAGAGAAAGGATAGTGAAGCTCCGCCCAACGCGCGTCAGAGCCACTTTTGGACCGCGCAGCGAGAGCAGCAAAGCTGCTTCAGACGCGCGTCAGAATTCACTGGTACAAGCAGCAAAAATGAGGCAGCAGACGCGATTTTGCTGCTTTTGCTGCCCCCGGTGTGAACGTAGCATTAGAGTCGCCCCCCTTACAGTGGAGACTCCTTAGTTTCTAATTACTCAAAGAGCAAGTTGGACTGAAGTACAAAAGGGGGAATTCTGTAAGAAAACATCTGGCAGGCTGGAAATAAAATGAAATTGAGGCAGAATCAACAATCCTAAACATACAGTCAGTATTAAGATGGAAAGTTTATCATAGCATAATTCTTACATTTGAATTGCACATCCAAAATCAAGTCCTATAATTCATCGAGAATTTGATGATAGTTTAAAAAGATCAATATTCACAGTTGTTCTTTATTCAATCTAAATCATCTTTAGTGACTTTGGGAGGAGATTTGGTCAAACATTTTAATCTCCATTTGTGTAAAACGTACAGCTGGACGCTGGAACTCCATCCCGGGGGTATCAGGAATGTACCACCTGGGTTATCATAAAGGAGCAGAGCCAACCTTCTTTTTTTTAAGAGAACGCTCAATATGACATGTGCAAACAGTTGCTGAGCATCACTGAGCATGTATGAGGAGGAGTGCATCAAAACAAAACCCACCTGCCGTTTGGCTAAGGTATAATGACAACAAATGCAACAAAAGCCTAGGGTGATACACCCAGCCTCGAGGGGCCGCCGCAGCTGTCTATTCATCCTCTTATTCACCTGTGAGAAGCGCTCAATGGGGACTGTTATTAAAAGCTTCCATACAAGCTGGCTGATAGCATTATGATTTGCGCAAAAGATACTCTCTTAAAATTATAGTTTTTACATGATGGCTGAGCTTTTATTGAAGATTCCAGCCTGGCTGCTAACCTTTAGTACAAAAGGACCCCAAACATCTTTTTTGTGCTATTTTAATGCAATTTTATATATTTATTCTGCTTCCAACATGAAGCTTGTGAATAAATGCCACCCAAACAGATGAATACGCAGACAGTAGATATTCAAATAAGCTAACCAGAGAGCATGAACTGGTTACAAGTAATAACCTAATAACCATAAAGTCTGATGAAAACCCAGCCAAAAGTCGATCAAAAGAGACGTCAGAGAAAGTATCAGACTGACCAGACGCTATATAAAGTATAGAGTAACAGCTCTGCCCCTCCCCCACCTGCTGCTGCCTGCCAAGTAGCAGGCTGGAAAAAAATAATCAACATTGTCCAAATAATAAAAAAACAATAATTCTTAAAGCTAAATAAATGTCACCTATTGCTTTGAATTAGGTTAAACTGTAACGTACTGATCACCATGATATTTTAACTATAGGTTATCACCTCATAGAGTCTTATTTTGGTCTGTCTGAACCTAAAATAGAGAAAACCACCCACTTAAACTTTAAACATTAAACAACAACATGTCCCTGACAAACCGGTCGTCAGCGAGACCTTCTGTTTAAAATGCAAACAAGCATGCAGCATTGTTTTGGCCGTAAGGCAGACAGTTTGGGTGTCCATAATGTTTTACATCAACAAAATAATGATGTTGTGGGATTTTAGCAATATGCTATCTGTAGGCAATGTTGCTGTATTGTCAACTAGTACACAAAATGTATTTTTTATATTCTAGAACAAAAAGGGCAACTTTCCAGTTGCAGAAGAAAAGGAAATCGCAAAGAAAGGTGATGTGAAACTTGACTTAACAGTGGGGACCCTCTTCTTCTCTGCTGCGAGTCCAATCCAGTCAGGTGTTGTGAGAGTAGTATCTGTTGCTGTGATCATGTGATAATTTGGTCAGGAAGCAGCTTTTCTCTCACTGGTCTGTTGGTGGATAACTGTGGTGGTCTGTAACCCCTCAGGATGAACTGTATGACCCCTGACACACAGCTGCTCAGTGAGAGACACAAAGACTCCTGCCTCATCCTGGGATCAGCATCAATATATCTTCAACTGAAAACTGGACACACACACCACAATAACACACATTGTGTTAGTTAGGGCAATGACAACCTTAGACTATGAGCAACAGACTCAGGGTCAGGGTCAGTCTGAAAGCTGCTGCTGCCATCTAGTGGTGAATAAGCTCATTTTGTTCCAAAAAAAAAAAACTTCTTCCAAAATGGAAGCTATATAGTTTAGTATATTACTAGTAATACCAATATTGAATTTAAAAAGGCATCCATTTACAGAAGAAAGAGGAATCATAATGATTCAGCTTCATGCAGCTTTTAGCTTACAGAGGTAGTTATGGTCTGAACACAATAAATGCAAGTTAATTAGACCTTATCACACATAGACAGCCCCAGATCATCAACCCTTCATCTGCATGCTTGATGGTTGAAGATTTTAGCTTGTTTTATTGGTTTTATCCAGCTTGAAATCAAAACTCATTTCCAAAGTATCCACACTTTGGTCTCAGCTGTCCAAGTTGCTTAAAAAAGTCATGTTAATCTAAACCCAATGTTGCCCAAAACTTTTTAAATCTTTAGAAAAATGTGAGTAGAACTTATATAGAGCTACATCAAGTCTGAGGACTCCTTTTCATTCTGTCATTACCCAGTTCACAGCTATTTTCCCTAACTGATGGTGGTAAGCTACATTGTAGCTGTAAAGGAGGTTGCCATATACTATCGACCCTCTTTTTACTGGAATGTCCACTCCTATGAAGACAGGAAACCATGCAAAATGTTTTATACTAAGAATCTTTCTCTGAATAAAATGAACAACTTAAATCAGCTTTTTAATTACCTTAAATTCTTTCCAGTTTGATGGATCACAACACATGCTTCTTTGGGGTCCTTGCTTTTGTCCCTTCTTACTGTAGTGTTTAAATGCGACTGCATAATTCAGACCATAGCAGACTGCTGAAACCCTTGGTACTAATATATGCTAATGATCATCTTATCTGATTAGCATCAGTGGTGCTTGGGAATTCCTTAAAGATTCCTGGTTGTAGGTGACTTTGCCTGCATAGTTAGGTCCATTATATCCTCCTCCGGTTTTAACAGCCACTTGCCCCTTCACCAACCCACTCTCACTTGCTGCAGAATCCCTCATCACTGAGAGTCCTTCAGAGGACTCCAAGTCACAGTCTCACTCCAGTGACCTGTCTTTCTTAACATGAGGGAAAAATTGGAATTCAATAGATCAAAGTTAGAAAAGCTCCAGGCTCCTGAGTTGCTGCACTGATCAATTCAATTCAGTTTATTTATATTGCAGCAATTCACAACACGTCATCTCAAGGCACTTTACGGTTTTACCAGATCATTCAGCCAAATTGATTCAAAGTTTTTTCTCCAATGAAAACCAGTTGATTGCGTCTACTCATTGACTCAAAGGCAAACCCTCAAACTAAGCATGCTTGTAGCGTCAGTGTAGAGGGAAAAACTCCATTTTAACAATAAGAAACCCCAGCAGAACCAGACTCAGTGTGAGTGGCCATCTGCCAAAGCCGACATGGGTTCAAGGAGACAGAAGCAGACATATAGAAAGAAGCAGAGATACAAAAGGCAATTGTAAACCAGCAGACCAGAAAACACACAGCCAGGCAAACGAACGTCGAGCCAGTTCCCATGTCAGAGGATGAAGAGAGCACACCTAGCCAGTCATAGTCAGAGAAACGGGACTACAAGGAGCTTGAACATCTTAAAACAAAGGTGTTGATGGCAGCAGCACAGCTGATATTTCTCTCCAGGATGGTGTCACAGCCAAACAGGAACAGACCAGATGAAGCTACCATGATAAAAAGCAGAGAGAGAATAACATTAGAGACTGAATTAATAGATTCTGCAGTGTGGGTATATAGAGATAGAATGAAGCACCCTATGTCCTCCAGCAGTCTCAGCCTATGGCAGCATAACTATAAATCTATACTATTAATCAAAAAAGATAGTTTTAAGCCTACCCTTAAAAGTAGACCGGGTGTCTGCCTCTCAGACTAAAACGTGTATTTGTTTTCACAGGAGGAGCCTGATAACTAAGCGATCTGCCTCCCATTCTAATTTTAGAAATTCTAGGAACCACAAGTAAACCTGCAGATTGAGAGTGAAGTGATCTGTTAGGAACATAAGGAACAATCATATCTCTGATATAAGATGGAGCTATATATGTGAGGAGGATTTTAAATTCTATTGTGGATTTAACAGGAAGCCAGAGCAGAGAAGCTAGGATACTAGAGATATCTTTTTTAAATTTTCATCCAAACTCTGGTTGCAGCATTTTGGATCAGCTGAAGGCTTTTAACTACAGTTTGTGGACTTTCTGATAGTATAGAATTACAATAGTCCAGCCTTGAATTAACAAATGCATGGAGTAGTTTCTCAGCATCACAACGGGCCAGGATATGCAGTGGAAGAGCTCTGAGCTACTGTCCCTAAGAATCTCAGGAGCTACAGGCTGTTCTAACATTGCATCTGATAAATAACTCTTAACAGGTTGGTCTTTAACCAATTTCCCCCCCTGGTCAGGTTGGATTAACTGCAAATTGATTATCAGCCTGGCAACATGGAACACAGAAAAGCACTGCGCTGGTCAGTAGACCAATATCCGTCTCATTGGTTTAGCTTTGTTCACAGTCTACACTGTTCAATCACCTCGCAAGGCTACAACCGACCCTGCAAAAGTTTTAAGACAACTCTGTCATAGTCACCGATAAGGGCAACTCAGAGTGCAAACATTGGATACAGAGCTTTGGTTCAGGCAGAATGATGAAGTGTTAAATGCAACAAAACAAAAAAGAGCTGGTGGTCTGAAGACATAGACTCATACTTAGATTCATGATATCCTAATGATGGGTTATTATTAAGTATCACTGCTCGATACTAATCTGACTAACAGATGCTGAGAGAAAGCATAACAAACAACTGCACAAGTCGGATCTTTATTAACAGACAAGGGGAAATAGTTTGTGCTATTCAGCTTGATGTTGTGTACCCGGAGGAAGAGACTACAGAACATGCCTTTTTCCTCAGACTTCTCTATACAGTAGTTATCAAAACACAATAAGCGGTTGGCTCATACCCAGTAGTTGTGTATTTTTGTCATGACAATTGTTAGAAAAATGGCAACACAGAAAAACAATTCCAAGCAATACTTTACAAAAAAATGGCTGAGTATCAAATGGACTTCCTGATGATACAAGATAAAAGAACTACCCCACATAAATGAATACTCCAGAGTCAGTAAGGACAGGCTGAGAGCTGAGAGTTAAAGAACAAAACCAAAAAGTACATTTCTTCCTTTATCCGTCTAATAACTTTAGAATGCTTTCTCTCTCCTTCAGAGCTTTCCACGCCTGGTCTTTCTCCTTCTTGGTTGGAGTGCGTTTCTTCTGCCTGGCCGCCATGATCCGACGGAATCCCTCCATCACCTCGTTGTCAGCCACCCTCACCCTCTGCCGCAGTTCCTGCTTTCGCATCTCTTCTTTTGCCAGCCTGTGAGACAGCAGCACATCACAGGGTCAAATCAAACCTTGGGTTAGCAGGCAATGTTACCTACGATAAGCACAGTCCTCACCGCAGCAGCTCCTGTTTCCTGGCTCTGTTGTGGGCAATGAGGGCTTTCAGTTCTGCTTGTCTCTTCTGCAGCTCAGCGAGGACCTCGTCCTCAGAGTCTCCTCCTTGTCCAGGCCGCTCATCGGAGTCCAGCAGCCCCTGGGCTATCAGCTCCTCCTTAATCCGCGTCTCCAGGGAACGTGTGTGAGGAACACTGGATAGAAGGAAACAAATAAACAAACTTAGTTAAAAGATGAATTAAGCTGCTGTACATTCTGTCCTTAACAAGCCAACTCAAACATTCATTTTCTTATGCACTATGTATGTATTATGAACTCTATCAAGAAGTTTGGTTAAATATCCTGATAGCCAGAAAAGGCCAGAAACGTATAGATAGCAGCAAGAAGTGTGGGGTTGAGTTGCAGTTTGCCAATAGACAAGAACAGAACGGTCTGTGTAAATTCAGGCAATTAATTTGTTTAATCTGAAACCGACATTGAGAAAAATGCGCTAGCATTTTTTGCTTCTCATTTATTCAACCAAAATGCGATAAAAGGATAACAAACCATTATCTGATCGCCTGTTTTGCACTAAACAATGAAAAAGTGTTTAGCTATATTTCTCTTTTCCCCATGAGACAAATGGCCCGGCTCTAAAAACTTCTCTGGTACAGGGGAGAGGAAAAAATGTATTTTTTTTGCAGTAACTAGCATTGTAACTATTGAGTTTGTAAAAGTCAGTAATGTGTTAGGTATTACTCTGCCTTAAACAGATTTGTTATCTGATATGTATAAATAAGGACTACAGTTTCCTGGTGAAAGGGCACGTGTAAACAATGTGCATGTGTTAGCACACGCGACGCCAGTAACAGCAATGTTAACAATTTCAGCATGAGTACAGAGGAGAGACGAAGGTGCAGAGCCACTGATTCAATGACAGCGTTCCTACAGAAGGCGCTCACTGAAGGCTCGGTGATTTGCTCATTCTGTGCAGGAACAAAGAGTTTATAAGCGTTGGTTAGAAGCTGCCTTTAATAAACTCATGTTCATTACCATCTCAGGGCTATAATGATTTTACCTGCATGGTTTATGATTTTTCATTCAAAACTATTGGGATCATACAGTCCTGCTAGGGTTTATATACCAGAATAGTCTAACCTCTGTTAAATTCTACAGTGAAGTATATTTCATTTTTGTGAAATTGCTTTAAAAGTTTTATTTTTCAGCTTCATGTCTATCTTATAGCCAATTGAAGGCAGAAAATGTTCAGAAATATAAAGTTCTAAAACATCTTTATTTTCTTTTATTTTAAATGAGAAACACGGTCACATCCTCATAACCATTAACTTGTGTTGGTTCTAAAAGCTGCAGGATGGTCAGAATCTGTGAGCTCCTCTACTCTGGACAAACCTAGGAAAACAACAAGCACTCAACCTCAATTGTTATGAAGCTGTAAACATCTTTTAAAGGGGAATCTTTAAGACCATCTTTTAAACTAGGGATGCACGATATAATCGGCCCCATATCGGTATCGGCCTGTATCGGCCTTAAAACTGAATATCGGACATCGGCCACCCCACCGATATTTAACCCGATATTTGATCAGCTTCTGAGTTTCTAAAGTCTAAAAAAAAAAAAAAAAAACTACTTCTTCTTCTTCCTCAAAAACTTCTTTTTTCCAGACTTAAAAACTTCTAAAGACGAGGGAAAAAATACTGATACATTAAAATATCGCAATATCTTCATATGCTGATATATTGCCATTTAAAAAACACCATATCAATCTCTTTTACTAATGAAATATTTCTATATGTCATCGTTATGCTAAGAAATATCCCGAAAATTCACAAAATTTTGCCATATTTTTATATGTTGATATATTGACGGGGTATCGATCTGTTTTACTAACAAAATCTCACAAGAATTTGTAAAATATCACGAGAGTTTGTAACAGAACGATGAAATTTCACAAGATTTTGAAAGTAAAATAGATCGATAGCGCATTTTTAAAAATCTATTTGATATTAGCATATGAAAATATATTTGAGTATATTATCTTTCAAAGTGTCAGAAATGGATAACAAAACTGCTATATTCAATGACTACTTATTTTTGTCAAGCTTTAACATCGGTATCGATATCGGTTATCGGCTACATGAGTTTTAAAATATCGGCATATCGGATATCGCCCAAAATCCCAATATCGTGCATCCCTATTTTAAACCTATGATCATTTTGTTTTGTCCTGAGTTTCATTAAATAATTCCGGTTCAGTTTATTCCTTCGAAGTTAGAGAAAAAAATTATTCGTTTTAAAATTAGAGGTGAAAAAATTTAAATAAATCATGTGTAATGGATTATTGAAATTATCGTAATTGAAATTTACAGAAGGTAAATGCTGCCATCAGACAGCTGAATGTTGAAAAAAATTTAAATCATATCACTGACTCTGCATCAAACTGACCATATCAATGCGCTTTTTGAACCATGTTTTTTCTCTCACAATGTTTACATTTGATCATTGCTGCAATTCAAGAAAATGGAAATGTCATGAGAGCTATGTAGAATGAAAATTCGTTTTGTACATACACTCTGTGTATAGAAAATGACAATAAATGTTGTCTAAGTCTACCTATATCCAACTTACTTGTCAAACCCCACAGCTCAAAATAGTGCAGATTCGTTTTCAATGTTTGCAAAAAAAGCTTTTATGTTTCCAGGGCTGCGGTTTTTGATTTTAAATTATTTTAGACTTTAATGTTGAGAAAAACTTAAACAAAAATCAATTTTTACAGAACACACAGTGAACTGATCTCTTCCTTACTGCAGTCCGAGGGAAACAAAAGACTGTTAATAATACCCCCAAATTCCTAAAGCCATGGTAGAAAAGTTCTTATACAATAATATGATGCTCATAGTACCTAAACGTTTTTCCTTGACTCCGAGGTGAAGTCCCAGCGCCATCATTGGTATCCTTTCCTGAAATGTCTGGTATCGGAGAATCCTCCATGGGGGATATAATGTTCTCCTAAAACATATGAAAAACCAAATCAGAACTTTTTGCAAAAGTCTAGATCATTTTATTTGCAGTAATTTTCTTGACAGTTCTAAGTTTCCCAGTTATTTCTTTTTCAGTAATATACCAATCATTTAATATGAAACTGACCTCTACAAGTGCCTGAAGCAAACGCTGAGTAAGAGGCCCAAAGGGACAACCGTCCTCTGGTGATTCATGTTGGGATTCAGATTTCTTCAGCAGTGAGTCAACATCTATATTAAACACATGGATGAGTACTGGCATTGATATACAGCTGTGTATCAATATGATCCAGTCAATCTAAAACCAATGGTAGACATTTTCCCCGGCTGAAGACTGTGTTCTTCTCTCACCTTTTGCGTCCAGTTCTGACAGTGGTCCTCCCATCATGCTCTTCTTCTTGTCATTGGCTCGCGCCCCTTCTCTCTGCTCCTCCAGCAGGTCCTCTTGAGCCCACCGCTGTGAATAGTGTTTCCCCAGTGCTGGAATCTACAGTAGAGTCATAGCTGAAGCTCAGTCTATATCATCAGTTAACAGCTAAAAATGATTGGAGTTCAGTGTTGTTTCATGTCATACTTTAAAATACTCGGCCTCGTCGTCTGGAGGTTTCAGAAGGTCCTCCAGCAGTCTGATCTCTTCATTGGTTATATCTGCACAATATGGTTCAACTGATGCCCAGAACCTGAAAAGCAGTCACATAATAATAAAGAAGCAGAAAGGAGGCTGAAGCCCTTCATTCGTTTATGACTGTAAATATAACGATTCATGAGACCTAGAGGAAAGTATACATATATTATAGTTCAGATATAACTGATGAAAGGCCTTCATTCTCATGTGCAAGTTGGTGCCAGTTACCTGTTTGGGGCATCATTTTTTGGAGTACGAGGGATATCTTGTGGATCATCTGTAAATTCATATTCTTGAACTTTTGGTTGCAGGTTTTTAGATTTGGGTCTGCCGGGGCCTGGGCCTGGTCCGTGCGCTCCCTTCCCTTCCAGCTTTGGCTTCTTAGGTTTATGACGGACTGGGGCTGCAGGATCCGGGTCCTTGCTCAGCTTCAGAAAACGTTTGTCTCCCTTCTTGTCCTGCCAGTCTGTGAGGATCTGAGATGGAACACAGGATAATGAGGGCAAAGTGATGCAGAACAGAAGAAGGAATTGGACAAAGTGTTGTTTTTTTCACCTCAAATGGGAAAGAATGTGATGCATTTGATTTTGGATGGATACCCCTATTTTAATCAACTGCAAAGAAACTGCCTATAAAATCATCTAATGAGAGAATTCAGTTGAGGAATATTTCAACTCGATTTACGGTATGTGTGGAAAACAATATAATACTGCACATCGTCACACAAACACAATCCTCATGGTGGTTGGTGGTCAGATGGTGCTAATGGTGCTGTCAGAATCATGCTTCATCATTCTTCAGCAGGGAAATAAAATTGGTTATATTTAGTGGAAGTGGTGCATAGAGCAAAATGGGTGGTAAAAGACTAGAAAAACATAGAGCAGATGGGTTTAAATCAAAGCATATTTAATCTTGACCTAAATCTAATTAGAATCTGCAGAAAATAAAATAAAATTGGTTCACTCTGATGCTCTCTATCTATTTTAATGTATAATGTATTTTACCCAAAAAAAAAAAAAAGAAAGAAAAGAAAAACATTTGAGACGCATTAAAGTTTGTGGCAGTGACATGATTTTTAGGTTGAAAAAGATGGCAAGGATAGTTTTCCAAATAAATGCAGGTATTAAACCCATTTGAAAGATGCAGACCACCCCTCACCTGTCTCTGCTCCTCCAGGGCCCGGAGGCGGCGGCTAGCGGAGGACAGCAGGGTCTCCAGCTCCAGCTGCAGGGTATCGAGCTCCTCGATGCCGATGCCATCATCCTCCGAACGGCCCAAAACAGCCGTGTAGCGGGGACACAGCTTCACATGCTCCACGGGTTTAAAGTCGTAATATTTAAGTGGGGGACAGTCCTTCAACTCACTCATGATGTCTGAAAAATGGATAACGTGGTTAATAAGACATCCTTAGCCCCACCGACACTTACTGTAGTTATGCCTATCTGATCACAAACTCAAAGCACGTACAAAAAGGGTTGCCTGCATCACACGGACCCACATTTCTGTTCAATTTTCATGAAAGCTGCTTATATCTATTCGTATAATACACACAAGTACTACCCGTGAACATTTTAGAAAGTACTTTTTACATTTTGAGCCATAGAAACATCAAATTAAATGTTAAAGAGCAGCAATATTTACCGTCAGTAAAAAGTGGCCATGATGGGAAAAACCATTGTGTCTAAAAGGGTGTCTGAAGCATTTAAAACAAATGTAGTAATATTTTATATATCTACAACTCATCTATAGATAATTTAATATATACAATTATAGGTAAATAGTTTTTAAAAAGTACCTTAGTCGAAATAAGTAAGCAAAACTATTGAGTTTCGATGGCATCTAATTTTGAGGCTAGAGTGGTATCTTCAGCGCATACCATTTTTCTAACGAGGTGTTAGTGCTTCAGCAATTCCCAAATAAATTGTATCCACAATTCTTCTAACTCCTCAGATCGTTATTATTTAATCGTTTTGACCGAAAATTTTCCTAAAAACGTAAATTTGACAATTTAAATAAGTCATTAAATGGCAACATCTTCGCTTATTACACGGCGGAATGGAATCGTCTTAGTATACGCTCGATTTGTTGTAAAATCACCTGCCGCCCGGGCGGTGTAATAAACTACGCATACATTTTTATCTGTGGCCGGGAGACATCCGCTCCCTTAAACAAGAAGTAAAAGAAAACAAGCACATCTTAGCTGTACTCTACTATGTAGGATTTACGGAAGAGTCGTCCCAGGCGTGGCTGAGGAACTTCCTTCTTGTACAGATCAAAATGGTGAGTCTGCTTCTTTAGATTTATATTTACGTTTTAATATTTCGCTGTTTAATTCAATTAATCGCGGTTTCATTCAATGCGACGGTGGCTAGCTAGCTAGCTTCTGTAGATGTTTGCGGTCGGCTGCAGGAAAATCAGAGCACGGACATCCTTGATGAGACGATATGCAGAAACTAGAGAGATTTAGCTGAGCTGTCTTTTCTTCTCGAAGCTTGTCCATCACGGCTTCTGTTTTTCAAAGCGTAAACATTTAGGGATAAAAATACGAATATTTAAGATATTATATGAGCTCTGCGTGAAGAATAACGACGAGCCACCGTCCCCTGAAGGCATCATATCCACTACCCCAATAAAACCCATAACTACATCTTCAAACCAAAATTTAGTTGAATTATAACTCAACGACCACATTTTTTAGTGTCTAATGAGTACCTATCTAAAGTTAAACATGTTAAGTCAGTTTTAGCAGGGGATATTGTCCTAATATTTGTTGCAATATATCCTACCGGTCAAACCCGACCTCAAAGGTCACACTGTCAGAGCTGAAGGGTCACTTTTTCCTGTTTCGATCTGCATAACAAAACAAAGCATGATCCCCCCCCACCCTCAGTAGTTGCTGATCACTACCCCCTTTCTCCTCAGACAGCGACTCTGCGCCCCTACCTGAACGCCGTGAGGGCCACCCTGCAGGCAGCCCTCTGCCTGGAGAATTTCTCCTCTCAGGTGGTGGAGCGTCACAACAAGCCTGAGGTGGAGGTCAGGTATGTATATTGGCACTTGATCATCAGAAGACCCAATAGTTTTAGTCTTTACTGTTATTTTTACTTCCCTAAAGCCACCTGTGGATATTCAGAAGCTGTCCTACAAGCATGGACTTGATCTGACTTGCTAAAGAAAGTATGGGGAGGAAAAAATATTGCAAAGGCTGCAGTAAGGCTCCTGAGTTTATCTGAAAGGGGCTTGCTGCAGCTTGTTAGCAGACATCTGAGTAGATACCAGTAGGTATCTGTAAAGGATGAATTATCTGTCAGCTGAGAATGCCTTTTGTTGTCATGCTTACAGGAGCAGTAAGGAGCTTCTTCTTCAGCCGGTGGTGATCAGCCGTAATGACAAGGAGAAAGTTCTCATAGAGGGGTCCATCAACTCCGTCAGAGTCAGCATTGCTGTCAAGCAGGTCATTTAACATGATGTGATGCCCTTTTTTCCCCCTTACTATGTCATTTTCAAATTTAAAATCACTTCTTATTTATTGTAGGCCGATGAGATCGAGAAGATTCTTTGCCACAAGTTCATGCGGTTTATGATGATGAGAGCTGAGAACTTCTTCATTCTGAGGAGGAAACCAGTGGAGGTATGGGATTAAAGGGGAGAGAAGTTATTATTTTTAGAACAATGAAAACAGTCATTGACCGCAAACGGAAGATTCCCCTGTGTGGAGTCATTTTAATTTGTATAAATCGTCCTCGTCAGCCTTGGCCCCCATTGAAACTGGTACATGTTAATTAAGCAGCAGATGGCAAATGAATCAACTTTATTCTTTTATTTTTGTTTTGAGTACCGATTTTAACGCCCCTCCTATCTTCGCAGGGATATGATATTAGCTTCTTGATCACCAACTTCCATACAGAGCAGATGTACAAACACAAGCTGGTGGACTTCGTCATCCACTTCATGGAGGAGATCGACAAGGAGATCAGCGAGATGAAACTGTCTGTTAATGCCAGGGCCCGTATTGTTGCTGAAGAATTCCTCAAGAACGTACGTCTTTTTTTTCCCCCAATATATTATTTGGTCTATTCACTGTTGGGCATAATGACCAAGAAAGACTAACTGCTTTTTGTCTCTTCCATAGTTCTGATGACGGCATTGTCTTTTGCGACTCTCCAAGGGCCAATCAAAATGTGAGTGGGAACCTAAGGAGGGAACAGCCAATCAGATGAGATAGTTGTGACCAATCTGACACCCTTTGTGTCGATATTATATATTTCCTTGTATTCATGGATATCAATTCCTGTATATAATGAAATATTTACCAGTTTCATTTTTAGCCTCTGAACAAATCCCCACACAAAGGCGGGTCCTTAAAGTATTAATCAAAGTTGATAGCCATGAATACAGGGGCACTAAGGATTTGTTGTTGCTGATTAAATGACCAGGTTTTTGTATTGTCTAACAGAGTCTGTATGTTCTGTCACTGTTGCTTCAAATTGGTCTCCAAAGTTTTGAACATAAATGTCTATGGAAGCGATCTGTGTGGCATTAAATCACAAAGTGAGACTCGTCTCTAAAGTTGCCACGGTAACTATTGTAAGAAAATATTGAAAGAGAAATAAAGTCACTTGTTTATACTCGTGTTTTGACATTGAGAAAAGGCCATACATGGTTCGTGCTGCCGCTGTTGCTCCACCTATAAACAGCTCGGTTCTTTGAGGAAGTCATTTACAGGAGGTGGTGAGGTCATACCTCGCATCATGAACCGTTGATGTGAGGGAAGGGGAAGTGCTGCAGAGACTGTGTGAACATTTCACTTATAGTTTCTTGGTTAAGTGGGGTTAAACACAGCAGTTCAAAGCTAGCACTCTATTACCTGCAGTAAATGGCTGTCAGAGTAAAATCCATTTGAAGAATTCTGATTATATTTAATCTAACTGCTTCACTGGAAAAGGGCCTGTTAGTTTTCACCATCTAAAACTCATTTTATATATATATATATATATATATATATATATATGTACTCTACGTAGACATTGCCTTCTAATTGGAATGACTGTTGCTTTATGCAATTGTCTTTGTTAAACCAAAACACTGAGCTAAAGGTTTCCATGACTGATGAATGAGAATTTACAGGTATGTCTTTGTTTAAAGCTGCTAAACGTAAACCAGGCAAGAAGGTAAAAGTTGTTTTCCTTCTTGCCAAACGGTGGCGTTCCCTAACCCCTTGAACCCTAAGGACCCACTGGCGGGTCCAGCTGCTACATGACCTCGTAATTTTACCAAACCCCCAGTATTGATGTAAAAAACATATTTGGCACAGTTTGGTGACATTTATGGATAAATGTGCCAAACTGGCCCCTCCGCCTAAGAAATTTCTCATTAATACCATTCTAAAATAAATATGAATCATGTGATTGCGTCCAAATTTGGTATATTTTTACACAACATTTAGATTTGAAAGTCTGTACTACTTTTTTTGTGCTATAAATAATATTTTGGTAGTGTTTTGCAATGTTTATTTCAAAGAAAATTTTGGCGAGGTTCAAAAAATGCAAAATATTTTGTATTTTGTCCCTAATATTTCAGGCAGGGTCAAAGCTACAATGGTGCTGACACCAGAAAACCATTCTATGACATCTTACCTTTACAGACGTACCAAAAGTTTCTTCTTAAATCTAATAGCTTTGAGGCTATAAGTTATTTACTTTTGTGTGTTTTTGTCAGGCAGAAATTTATTTATACCCCCTCAGGGTGTAAGAGGCTAAGCGAAACGTATACATTGATCTCGATAGGACTAATTGATTCTTCATAAATAATTGAAATATGACTCAATATACAAAATCACTTTTCTTGGCTTTAAAAATAGCTTTTAGGTCCAGAGTTGTTCAACATGATCAAAATTCCATTTTGAAATAGTTTGGCTGTTATCTATATTCATTAGTGAGAATACATCCTTGGTTCTTTAAACTATGAGTACTTGTCGTCTTTAAGTAAATTCTTTTTAAACTGAAGGGAAAAAAAACATGAATAGTATATTCAAATATACACATTTCCAGCAACCCTCTATAAAAAATAATTTGCTTTTTTCTAATCATAAAACACATAACTTCACTTAAAAGGAATGGTAACTAATCATTGTTAACTTGTTTTCGGGCCACTTGATATAAGCATTATTTCCACGCGTTAAACATATGCTCGTATGACTCGCTTTGATAAACAGATTATTTGAAAAGGCATGACTTTTTCAGCAAGTTAAAAGGTTTGGGGGGAAATAATCCAGCGATGGATGACAAATAAAAAAATGCTGAGTGGTTTAGGAAAAATAACATCTTTATTGCAGTCAAGTTGGAACATACGTTTTCAAGTCAAGAGCAGCACAACAAATATGTCAGCTAATGATCCTTTTTGCATTTCTATTACTTTAGTGTCCTACTTAACAATAATACAGGTGCTGGTCATAAAATTAGAATATCATGAAAAAGTAGATTGATTTCAGTAATTCCATTTAAAAAGTGAAACTTGTATATTATATTCATACATTACATACAAACTCATATATTTCAGATGTTTATTTTGTTTAATTTTGATGATTACAAATGACAACAAATGAAAATCTCAAATTCATCATATCAGAAAATTAGAATATTACTGAAGACCAATAAAAACAAAGGATTTATAGAAATGTTGGCCAACTGAAAAGTATGAACATGAAAAGTATGAGCATGTACAGCACTCAGTATTTAGTTGGGCCTCCTTTGGCCTGTATTACTGCAGCAATGCGGCGTGGCATGGAGTCGATCAGTCTGTGGCACTTCTCAGGTGTTATGATAGCCCAGGTTGCTCTAATAGTGGCTTTTAGCTCTTCTGAATTGTTGGGTCTGGTGTATTGCATCTTCTTCTTCACAATACCCCATAGATTTTCTATGGGGTTAAGGTCAGGAGAGTTTGCTGGCCAATTAAGAACAGGGATACCATGGTCCTTCAACCAGGTACTGGTAGCTTTGGCACTGTGTGCAGGTGCCAAGTCCTGTTGGAAAATGAAATCTGCATCTCCAAAAAGTTGGTCAGCTGCAGGAAGCATGAAGTGCTCTAAAACTTCCTGGTATGTGGCTGCGTTGACCCTGGACCTCAGAAAACACAATGGACCAACACCAGCAGATGACATGGCACCCCAAACCATCACTGACTGTGGAAACTTTACACTGGACTTCAAGCAACGTGGATGAAGTGCCTCTCTTCTTTTCCTCCAGACTCTGGGACCTTGATTTCCAAAGGAAATGCAAAATTTACTTTCATCAGAGAACATGACTTTGGACCACTCACCAGCAGTCCAGTCCTGTTTCTCTTTAGCCCAGGCAAGACGCTTCTGACGCTGTCTGTGGTTCAAGAGTGGCTTGACACAAGGAATGCGACAGCAGAAACCCATGTCTTTCATACGTCTGTGTGTGGTGGTTCTTGAAGCACTCACTCCAGATGCAGTCCACTCTTTGTGAATCTCCCCCACTTTTTTGAATGGGTTTTGTTTCACAATCCTCTCCAGGGTGTGGTTATCTCTCTTGCTTGTACACTTTTTTCGACCACATCTTTTCCTTCCCTTCGCCTCTCTATTAATGTGCTTGGACACTGAGCTCTGTGAACAGCCAGCCTCTTTAGCGATGACCTTTTGTGTCTTGCCCTCCTTGTGCAAGGTGTCGATGGTCGTCTTTTGGACAACTGTCAAGTCAGCAGTCTTCCCCATGATTGTGTAGCCTATAGAACTAGACTGAAAGACCATTTAAAGGCTTTTGCAGGTGGTTTGAGTTAATTAGCTGATTAGAGTGTGGCACCAGGGGCCATCAATTTTGAACCTTTTCACAATATTCTAATTTTCTGATATGATGAATTTGAGATTTTCATTTGTTGTCATTTGTAATCATCAAAATTAAACAAAATAAACATCTGAAATATATGAGTTTGTATGTAATGTATGAATATAATATACAAGTTTCACTTTTTAAATGGAATTACTGAAATCAATCTACTTTTTCATGATATTCTAATTTTATGACCAGCACCTGTATATCACAGATGGTCAATATATGTATATAAATATGGACTGGAGAAAAGCTATTTTCACTCACTTCTAGGAACAGTTTATCAAAGTAGCACTGCTTTACTCCATTCCCTCCCATCAGCACACAATAAGTTTAAAAAAAAATTTTTTTTTTTAAAGTAGGTTTAAAACCTAAACATTGCACATCATCTCTTAAGCCACCTTCATGTGAACCTATGATTGCACAAAGAAACATGCAGCAGACCAATCACATGGTTAACACTTGAAAACATGTTAAATCTGCAGCTGCACCATACAGACACACTGAAAACAGTGAATTTAATAGCGATCAGAGCAAACTGCTGAGTCAAGTGTTTAAAGCTGCCCTCCCCACACCCACTCTGCTATGAAAGAGGGTTGAATCATAACTTGCACCAGCTGTTCTCTTAGCACATAGTGTAACAATTTCCAATATGAAAATTTGGATCACAATGATTAAATAAAACCTCTTGAACTGGGGAAAAAAATGCAGGTCACAGGAAGATCTCTACATTTTATACATTGGGGCAGTGCTATAAAGCCGATCAGTCACCGGTTGAGTTAGATGATGAAAGGATGATTGAAATGTGAGACACAAAAGACCATTACGAGAGAGGATGTAACAGTATCGCTGGACTCCCGACAAGGGCATCAGAAGTGAGCGGGGACAGTCTGCAGGGCGTCTTCAGTGGTACGGTGGATGTCAACATTCTGGAAGGAGGAATGCAGCTGGGTCAGAGCGCTTTTCATGCATACTGGTAAACCAACAGTTATTGGGAGTCGGGGTTTTGCAGCTAACGTGCATCTATTTTTGGAAAGAAGAGATCTCTTCTTAGGATTTTGATTTTTAGAAAGACTTGGGATGTTCTGCCACAGACATTTTCTACACATTGCAACTAAATGCCAAGATTATACCAAGCATAGTTCATTAGAAGCTCTATTTCTGTTCAGGCTGGGTGACGGTGCTGTTATTCAACCCCAGAGGAACCTTGCATATGAATGAACAGGAAATATCAGCCCTGTGTGCTCAGAAAATGAAAGAGGAATTTGGTCTGTGGAAGGTATCAATTGAAGGGCAGTTTTCATTGTTTTTTTTATTTCAAAGTAGTGTAATTTGGAAATCCAGTTTACTCATTTAATCAGTGAGGCCCCTTATAGAAGCCGCATGTTGGAGCATCATCAGACTACTTTGTTTCAGACTAAATAGCTTGTTTCATAAAGAGAACAAAATGAAAAGTAAAATACAAAAAGTGTGAACTAAAACACATCCTTGGGGAACATCTTAGGATATTTTCAGGGGAACTTATAAATTACTTTCATAAAATACTGGGTCTTGACATTGTTTACAAATAAATTCTGACCTCTGGACTAAATCATACAGCAAGTCTATATAACAAACATTTTTTAATCTACACAACAGTGCTGTTTGTTCTGTGATGGTGCATGTATTTTTTTTATAGCATTATGACTCAAAGTGGCTATCGATTAAACATTTCATCTTTAAATGAAGCACAAGGAAAGTTTGGTATGGATCAGTTAATGCTTGGTTGAATTTTATTCAGAAACAGCAAACATATGTTTTAATATACTGTAATATCTTTCACATTGTGTCAAATACAACTATATACAGCAATTTTTTAATTAACACTTTCACATACTAATAAATTATTGTTAGGTACATTTTATTTTAATTGTGTAGACAGATTAGAGTTTAGTTAAAACTGAGGCACTACTAAAAAAAAACTTGATCAATGAATAAAATTTGAAAGTGTATAAAGGTAAAAGGTGCTTCTTCAGACAAGGTGCTGGAGCTTCATTGCTTCATGGTTTGGAGTGCAGAGTCATTTTTAAAAATACCCTCATTAGGTTTTCGTTCATTCTCCAAAAATGAGAGCGTGAACATGACAACATTCATGGTAGGTTTAAAAATAACAATAATAATAGCTGGTATCCAGTTAAATACCACCATAATCATGTCTTCAGATAAAAGTGGAAAAAAAAGAAAAAACAGAAGACAAGACCAAAGGAAGGAGGTTCAATCAAGAATTTTGGATTGTACATTTTGTGCGTCCTAAGGTTTCATTGTGCGTAATCATGGCTAAAAGAGGAAAAGTTTGAGGATGTTGAGGAGGGCTAACTGCCTCACTGGTGAGCTGGCACAGTAATCAAAGCCTCCTCTGACATCCGTGTCACTTCTACGTTCTGTTTGATAAAAAAAAAACAAGAGGTGGCGGAATCAAACAAGGGAAACATGAAATGAACTGCACACACAAAAACATTTGGAACAACAAAAATAAAACTTTCAAATATGATTATTAAAGTATTTGTAATGAGGACTCTATCCGCTTAAACCATGAATTCAAAGTGCTTGTCAGGCAGACAGCGCCTCATGCATCATGTATAAGCTGTGTGAATTACAATAATGAAGCAGCATCTTTCAAAGAGGCTTCATTGGTAAAAAACAAAACAAAGACATATTCATCAATAAATGCATGACTTCAGAATCTGTTGTTCAGAATAAAATTACTTTTTTTTATTAATATGTAGGAGCGTGAAAAAGAGTTTTACATGGTACAAAATGTTTTCTGCAAATAAACTGACTCAAAGGATGCTTTCAACACATTGACTCCCGCTAACGTGCTCAGCAAATGAAACTATAAAAGCTAACCTATTTTTTAACCAGTATGGTTCTCAAAAATAGTGTTTATGTGACGTAACCCACCTCAGGTTTCTCTCTGTGCGTGTTGACTGCCTCCACATTCAGGCTGATGGACTCCACTTTACAGCCTGCATGTTGAGAGACCATTGTTACGTTTGTTGGTGAAGCTGGATTGCCAAAGGTTTTTATTTCAGCACATAGCTACTTAAAAAGTAAATAATACAAGAAACCATTCCTACCGTAGGCAACAGGTGTCAGCTTCAACACGGTGTGCAGAGGACACTTCAGGTATGGCAGCTCCTCTGTAGCAATAAACAAATCTGATCAATAAAACCTGGGAAGTGCCAGAGTCAAGGTAAGTATCCACATGAAGACTAATGCTTGGTAAGAGCAGCCATTTTAAGCATCCTGAACTTTACTTTATTTGTATTACACACAATAGATCACAGAATTAATCACGTAGTTTCGAGTTAAATACTGCAAAGGCTTTATTAAATATGAATAATTAGTGGGCAGGAGGTGAATGATATTGCCAGCTGTTATTTCTAGAGGATGGGTAGCAGTTTTCCACTCAAAGCCAATCAAAGGAAAGCCATTTATATGTTTAGTTTAGCTGATTTCACACAATGCTTTTTTATGCGTTAGGCATGTGACCATTCCTGGTTTCTAGTGTACCCTACAAAAAAAATAAAATAATAATCCCCGCTTTCAAAACTGCTAAAGTTTTCTGTTATATCATTCTGCAGTATAAACAGTTTTTATATATAAATCCAGCCAGAGAGAAAACCCTCAATTGCAGCTGCAGCATTATGACTACAGCTACTGTTTTTTTTTCTCCTTCCCAAATACTGCTCTCTTCTAAAAAAAAATAAGAAATTACCTAAATTTGCTGAATTAATTGAAACTCAGCCAGGCCTTAATAAAATGATAATCATATCCCAGCCACGATGGCGTAGTATGATTATATATGTATTTTTGTAATATACTGGTATCGCTACCTGGTATTGTCCAATACTCACAGCACAAGCATTGGAATCTTATCAGGAGAGAAAAAATGGTAGGAATATCTCTGTGTAACAATAAATCGAATATATAAACAATATAAAAAAACTGCCCTAGAATATAATTCTAGGGCAAAACTTGCAACATGATTCCTCTTGTTATTATGTCTTATTTGCCGCAGCTATTAGAGCTGCATAAACAGTCATTCCATCATATAAACTGCTGATCAGGATGATTTATGGGAAGTGGCTGCCTAGTGGTTAGGGCATAGAACTTGTAATCCTGAGGTTGTTAGTTTGAAACCCACTCCCACAGACTGCCACTCTCTCAGCAAGATCAATAAAGCTAAATATAAAAAATATTATATTGATATGTCAAAAATCCTGAGCAGTAATACTGCATTTTAATGGAGTGACACCCGTGATCTAAAAAACTGCTTCCACTGAAGTCCAACCTTCAATTCAGCAAGCATTTTTATTTTTTAATGCTTCACACATTTCACAATAACACAATTTAGTCATAATGCCTTGAAACCAGGGTTTTTTTTTGCTTAAGGTTAAAAAAGCACCCACCTGCTGTCTTGTCCAGAAAGTAAGCCAACAGACACCTCATGACAGCCTGGTGACAGATGACCAGCACGTTCTCCTGCCTCTCCAGCTCCATGATGACTGGCTCCAAGCGCTGCACCAAGTCCTCGTACGACTGAGCATGACATCACGTTTAAGGGGACAATCAGAACATCTTTGTTAGTTTAAAATCAAGCTGCAAAGATAGACATTAACTGTAAATGTAAGCAGGCTAACATTTAAGCAGCTGGAACATGGACACTCACCAAATAATGAATCTTGGTCTGAGCGATTAATGGAGGTTTAATGGGGTAAATGAAAGGTGAGAGCTGACCTTGGGGTCTTTAGCTCCACAGTAACAGAGCAGCTAATGAGAAATCTTTGGTTACTGTGCTCTAGTGTTTAGTTAAAGCTGCCGGAGAGGCTGATTACCCAACATTAGATCATCATTAGCGAAGGGCAAGTGGTAAACAGCTATTTGAATAATGTCTAAATGGTTAAGACACTGAAGAGAGATGAGGCAAGAGCTTAGAAAACAGAATCCGAGTCACAGCGTACTTTGAGGAACTTCAATTTAGACATATAGCAACCCTTAAAATATTAAATTATGGAAGATGAAATATGCAGTGGGGGATTTAAAAAAGAAGATCTCCCAATGGTTTATTTCAAAGCTCCTTAGTGATATAACAGAATCTTTAGAAAGATGTGCTTATTTTAACTGGTTTTAAATGTGCAGGTTTGTGTCAGTAAAAAGAACACTATAAAACAATGTTATTGTAAACATAATTTTGCACCAGATTTTTATTTCTTTTCTTTAGCTTTCCATTAATATGTTTATAAACCGCCCTCCGACCAAACCGCCTCCTGGGAATAACTTGGCCTGCTTGCTGAGGCTGTCGGCTGTTTGAAAATGTACTTTTCAGGAACATTTACTGATATGCAATTAACTACTTGGAAACTCTGACCTTCTTTTTGATACACTAGATAACAGGTTTACAGTTGTTAAAGGTGAAGGGCAAGATAACACCATTTTCCCTGCCGTCAGTTGGATCTGAAGTGAGTTTAGGGTGTAATGGCAGCTAAATTTAATAGCAGCGATATTTTTACCCACAGAAACAAATAACTATTTATGGTTTTGTTCCAATTGCGGTTAAAACTGGCTTTAAAAAGGAAGACAGGAAACAACGTTGAAAAAAATATCATCATGTATCAGTTTTTACAAGTCAGTGATAAAACTGAACTATAAAAATCCCTTTGTTAAATATAATAAAAACTGGTTTTGATTAATTTCACAACAAAATGCAGATGATTTAAACTTTTAAACACTTAAATATAAACTGTGCGTTACCGCTACCTTAGCTTTGTGCACATAAAGCATTTGCAAACAAAAGAGCAATGAGAGAAATTAGTAAATCCTCTGCTGACCTCTCCTTTTGGATAGCGATAGCGGTATTTGTCCTGGTCCCTTAAGGCAAACTCCAGAGGATAATTTCCCTGGATCTCCTCATACATCATCTCTTCACACACACCCTATACATAAAAAAAAAAAAAAAACACACACACACAACAGTTAAACATATTAAACACTGCTTATTTGTCAAATCAGGTGCTTAGAGTAAGTAAGAGATTAAGATATGAACAATACAGAGGTTTATCAACAAATGAAGACAGATGCTCTTTGTCCGTTTGGACCAAATATTAGAAAGTAGGGATGCACGATATAATCGGCCCCCTATCGGTATCGGCCTGTATCAGCCTTAAAACTGAATATCGGACATCGGCCACCCCACCGATATTTAACCCAATATTTGATCAGCTTCTGAGTTTCTAAAGCCAAAAAATATATATATATATACTACTTCTTCTTTTTCCTCAAAAACTTATTTTTTACAGACATAAAAAATTCTAAAGACGAGGGAAAAAATATTGATACATTAAAATATCACAATATCTTCATATGCTGATAAATTGCCATTTAAAAACACCATATCAATCTCTTTTACTAATGAAATATTGCTATATGTCATCGTTATGCTACGAAATCCCCCGAAAATTCACGAAATGTTGCCATATTTTTATATGTTGATATATTGACGCGGTATCGACCTATTTTACTAACAAAATCTCACAAGAATTTCCAAATATCACGAGAGTTTGTAACAGAAAGATGAAATTTCATCAGATTTTGAAAGTAAAATAGATCGATAGCGCGTTTTTAAAAATCTATTTGATATCAGCATATGAAAATATATTTGAGTATATTATTTTTCAAAGTGTCAGAAATGGATAACAAAACTGCTATTTTCAATGACTACTTATTTTTGTCCAGCTTTAACATCAGTATCGATATCGGTTATTGGCTACATGAGTTTTAAAATATCGGCATATCGGATATCGGCCAAAATCTTCGTGCATCCCTATTAGAAAGCTTATTTGCATTTAGGTAAACTGAGAGGAGCTTTTCACTATATGTGTTGAACAAATTTTCTGTTCATGAAAACAAAACATTCCCAAATCTCATAGAGGGGATAAAAGTTAACTGCCTCTGTAAGTCAACATAATGCTTACCGCGTCAATCTCATTGAGCACCTTCCACTGCTCATAGGGAACATTGAGGGCCTCTGCTGTCTGGATGGTTCTCTTCATCTGACTGGTCCATACCTTCAGTTCACTTATGTTCTGTGTCTGGATAAACTGGTTCAGCTTCTTAGCAAACTGGACAAAGAAGAAATATGTTTGTTTTACTCTAATATGTAAAAAAAAAAAAGAAGAGAAGCAAGACATTTTTGAAGACAAAGCTCTTTAAGTGTCAAATCTCTTTTACCTCTTTGCCCCTCGGCGTCAGACCGGAGTCTCCTCCGATCCGACCCTTTACGTTAAGCTCACTCTCACCGTGGCGACAAAGGTAGATGGAGCGCGGCGTAATGTGGATGTTCATGAGGTAGTAGACAATCCGGCTCTGGATGTGGTCCAGCACTCTGTTAACCAAGTAGCGCTGGCCTACATCCATAATTTTGATGAAAGAAAGATCCCTGAAACCAGATTATAAAGCAACTAAGACCTTTATATAGATGCGATAAAGTCAACAGAAAAATAAACAACCTCTGGTTGCATATAAACATTAACACTGGACTCTTCTTCCCTTTTGCTAGTAATTTAATCCTCACCTGTCTAAAACCTCATCCAGCGTCTCATAAGAGTTTTCATAACATTTTATCCTCTTCATGAAATCCTCCACTGCTTCTTCTGTGTTGCAGTTTGTGTAGTCAGGGCTTCCCAGCTTCACTTGCTAAAAAGAAGTCAGGGAGAGAATAGCAGGTGTACTAAAGTTAATCCAACCCAAATGCCCTGTAAACTATTCAAAGAGTCTATCTTTGTATTTTTTTTATGTTTTAACTCTGTTTAAACAAATCTAAATGTACTTCATTAGGATTTTATGCGATTTATCAAAACCAAGTGGGAAGATGAAGGACACCAAATATGTGAAATCATGAAGGGCTTTAGGTACTTCACTACTTACAACTATGTTTTCCTGGATGACTTCTGGATCTTCACACACTGACTCTACGAAAAAGGCCTAAAATAAAGAGGGAGGCAACGCAGATTTAATACAGACACTGCAAACTCAAGAGTTTCTTCGCATTCAGGCTTTTAGATGGCAGCGTTACCTTAAAGCCGTTCTGTTCTGCAAACTCCAAAATGGTGTCCCTTCTTTCTCTGGTTGTGTTTGTTGCATCAAACACCTAAGAAACAGAAGCTTTTTATCAATACATAAAGAATTATACCTGCTAAAAACAAAAAGAAGACTCTAATAACATATTTTCCTTACAGCTACTTGGCCTCCTTCTTCTGTTAAATACTGTCGCACATCATTTAGAGCGGCTGAAGCACACTGCCTGCACAGATTGGGGATTTTCCAGCAGTTAGCATCATATAATTGCTATCTTCAAAAAGATATTATGGCGACACACGTGTCTGGTACCTCCTGATCTTTAACCCTTCCTCATTTTCTGGACGGAAAAACTCAAAGGACTTGTAGATCTTCAGGAACTCTCTTCGATATTGTCCAACATTGAACTCTACAGAAAAAGAACAGAGGAATGAAAATGACACCCCTGCTCTTCCAGACGTGTTTGTACAGCTGGGCTTCGTGACTGTTCACAGGATGTGGAAATGCTGAGGAGTCCTACCTCTGGTTGGCACTCCGATCCAGTTCAGATAGCGGGTCAGCTTCTTTGAGATGTAGGTTTTTCCTCGTGCAGGGAGGCCCACAGTCACGATCAGAGTTGGACAGTTGGTCATGCATACTGAAATGATCAAAAAACAAGAATCCTGTTTAACGTCTATGAGCATAGAATCATTTCAGCTTTAAAACTGATTAAACATCAATGTAATCAGCATTTCTGTTAATCTTTGCTTTACAGTAATAAAAAAAAATAACTATCACTTTTACAGCCTGCTTAGTTATTGCCTTTCATAAAACATAATTAAAAGTAAATCTCTGACATTCACATGTGATCGTTTTTTATAATGGCAGACTATGGAGCAGAGGTTGCTCCATTTCCAGGATGTGTCAGCATGAGGGGTCAAAAAGGCGAGGAGCAAGTTTCCCCAGAGAGCCTGTATAACTCGCTAACAGAGGACATACTTTTCACAGTTTGTGATAAGTAGTGTAAGGCACTTGTCACACTGGTTCGATAAAATCTGTTTCACTTTTTGTTTTTATTTTTCCACATACCCAACCATCTTAAATCCAGTAACATCACCACAGCTTAACAGGATCTATACTTCTACCCAACTGACATCTCTGAAGTTGATTCAAAGAACCTGATTAAGTGGTTATTTCACTGCTTTTAAGCAGCCCTAGTTTAAAGGTTGGGTTGTTCATTAAACATTTCTGTATGTGTGAAAATAAAAAAAGAACTAGTTTAATTGAAGATGAAACGACCTGCCAGAGAATGGGATTAGCAAATGACCACTGGATCAGCTCTCGTGATTTTTTTTCTCTTGCTTATTAAAAGCCTCACCATTTCTGACACTTTTAGATAATATATGCATTAACCAACAGCATTTACTTTTTAATTGAGTAAAAAAAATAAAATAGAAAACAGAGAAAGGTTAAGACACATGCCCTGGAACAGAAAAAGGATGATCTTATAATAAATATTTCACCCTTTGAAGAGCCTGCGGCACTCTTTTTAACGTACAGCTTATAATATTTCAAAGAAAAATGTAAAACAAGTCTGTCAATGATCAGCTGTTTAGAATTCAACAAAGCAGAAGCAAGTAAGTCATTAATTAATTGAACTTTATTGATCTCACATTGGAGAATTCCCTTGGGGAGCAGTGGGCTGCCATTGCGTGAGGTTAAGGGTCTTGCTCAGGGTCCAAGAGTGCAGGCTGTGGGGATTGAACCGGGTACTTCTCAGCGCACTGCTCTAACCACTAGGCCATCACTCCGACTAATACCAGTACCAGTCACATGAAGGGTTGTTGACAGACCTTTTTAATCTCACTGACCACTCAAAGCTCTTCACACTAGAGCCAAAGTGATGGGAGGGTGGAGGGGAATAGGCATTAAAGCCACAATTTAACTCCACCATCCATTTATTTGGACATTAGATCATAATAGATGAGGGTTCAACTTGAGAAAACTCCAGCCTTTTTTGTAAAATAGAGATAGCCGACACATTCTAAAGAATTCAGGCAAGGGCTGAAATAATTCGTCAACTAATTTAGAAATCATTAATCGTTAACTGGAATGTAGAGACTCTAAAACGTGCGTATTTCTCATCTGTCAATATGCTCCATCCAGAACTCCTCAAGAGGAAAAGATTTAGTTTCACCTGGTTTAATTTTGCAAAAAGTCTTCTTTCAGGAGCCTTTTGCAATTCGATTAATAGTTGAAAGAAATAATCGACAGAGAAATCGATTAGCAATATAATCGTTAGTTGCAGCCACAATTTAGACCTTATAAAAATTTAAAACTTCCTAAAATAAAACAAGTAAAATCTGGATGGGTTTGTCCTAAAACTTCCACAAGATACAATTTGAGATCATAGATTTCAATCCCTTTCAGACACACAGATCACCTGAGATGGGGTTATTTTCACAGTCACAGGTGGTCCACATGGCATAAATAGACAGTTTATTTTCTTTTTGTATTGGAAAACTAAATAGAAGCTTCACAAATCATAAAACAGCCTCAAAAAATGTATTTAATGTAGAATACTTTAATTGTAGTAGGACACCCCCCTAAAGTAGTTTAAAGTGTGAGAAGTTTAGAAAATTTAAATCTTCAACTACAGATAAAGAAAAGCAGCTAAACAGAAAGGTCTTCACAGGCATTAGCCCAACGCAGAGTTAGATTTGGGTCCCGTGTAGCAGTTCCCATTTTCAGTTGTTCTAGCCTGGATGCATCTGGAAACACCAAGTTTTCAAGTACGTTGGACTCAGGGGCAGAGCTAGATGGGGGGCCAGGGGTGGCCATGGCCACCTTTACCCAATCATTGGACACCCCTTTCATTTTTTCCCATTGTAATACAGACAGTGGCAGCAGTAATACTCTCAATATTCCAAAAATTTACATTTTTCATACATTAACAATTACTTGACAACAAAAACATGGTGGTTAATTAAGCACATCGATATACTAAAATTAAAGATAAGTACAGAATTCCTGCTCTTTTCTGAACTAGATTTTGTTATATGGGGTAAAGAGAAAATGCAAGTCATCTAGGAGTCTTCAGTTAATCATAGATAAATAACTATTTTAATAAAAACTTAGTAAATAAACGTTTTTTGTAGATATTAGTACTCGTTAATATCAATTTTAAGCAGAATAATTATTGATAAAAGTAGGCAAGTAAAGACAATGGAAAAGATGTTTGTCCAGAACTCAAACCTGAAAGAACTTTAACCACTATAACTTATAACTAAGAAGCAAGGATGTTTAAATATATGCGTCTATTTGTTAGCAAAGGTTGGAGGAAAGTATGAATAGTCTTTATTTGGAAAATAGGGATGTTGTGGTTGTTAATTTTCCTGTTGGATCAGTATAGATTGACTCTAAGGTTGTCGTGTCGAGTTTTTAAGAGCAAAAGAAAAAAAAACTCTTAAAGAGCAAAATAGACAATATTACAACCTGTACTATTTTCCACAATGAGCTGAGATGCCATCTGTGTGCGCGCAGATAAAATAACTGATTTCATCTGATGAATGGAGAGAAGAAAAAAAAACACAACTCCTGTTTTTAACAACTGGCGTTTCATTTGGCACAAAAGCAGAGGTAAACATGAACAGCGCGAGTCTTTTCTCCTCTTTAGCAGAGGGACATTGTTTCAATCCTTACATAACCGTGTGAAGCAGGCGGCTGGAGCAGCAGCATCTGAACTCTGTTTCTCTTCAGCCGGACTGTCTCAGGGCGGATTCACACATTTAAAAGGGAAGTTCATCAACATAAGAGCTGTAGAAAGCTATGCTAACTGCCGTCACGTCGTCCATACGCACCCATTCGATGAGAAATGTGTTTTTCAGGGAGGCCGTGTTTATTTGGCATCCATATCTTCTTCAATGGGTTTTGGGTGAGCTCCCGCGGAGTGAACGTCGGTTTGTCCTCCATGTCGCTCTGCGGTGAGGCTGAGGCGGCCGCGGTGGGGACACCGACCCGCGGCTGCTTCCCGTGATGCTGTTCTGAAGGTGACCGGTGCTTCATCCGCGCGACTCGGTTCTGACAGAGCCGCAGCACTCGTCTCGCGCTCTATCTTTCCGATCTGTGCTCCTGTCACGTGCTCAAGTTTCGCTTCAAAGGACCCAACGATTGACAAGTTAGGGAAAGTTCTATTATTATTTAGTCAGAATCAGTTGTATTTGCCTTTTTTATTTTAAAAATAAATAGTAACAAAAAATATTATGATACAAATATTTTTTTTGTAAAAAAACAAATAAAAAAATAAATCTTTTTGATATTATTCCTCTAACCAATGAGGAATGATGAAACAACACTAAAAGTCAAAATTAAAGACATGATATCTTTAACTATATTGTTACCAGGATAAATCCCCAACAATTCTCACTAGGTATATTTCCATCAATTTGACCCCGTTTCTTTGGTAACAATACCAAGTTAAATACAAATTTCTATTAAATCACCTTTATTCCTCCCTACATTTATATATTCGGTAAATAAAGCTGATTCATACCCTACAAGCAGCTCCGCAGTAATTAAAGTTAAAACGATTTGCCATACATAACCGTAACGTAGACGTAGAGTCGCGCAAACATTATGTTCAACCGTAAGTAATGTACACAGACGGCACACTATGGGGTGAGGAGGCACAGTAATTACTTTAAACAGGTGGTGTAAGTGCAATAAACCCATTTAGTCATAAACGATTATCACAGCAGGATAAAACATAGCTAGTGAGGGAATAGGAAGAGCAGTAAAATAATTCAATCAGTGAAATGCAAAATGTGCATAAAATCAGACATTGTCACATAACATCCAAACATTGTAAAAAAATCCTTCCTTTATGTGAGTGACCAATGGAAAGTAGCAGAAAATTCTAAAACAGAAGAAAAACAATACATATTTTCTTTTTTTATAAATACCGCTTTGAAAACTATGACATCCAACGCACTTCTCTGCCTGTGGTGTTTAGAACCTAATCTGACCAAGTCTGACTCTGCTAGATTTATTTTACAGATTTTTTTTTTATTGAGTCTGCTTTGGAGAATCTATCAGATTAAACGGATAGTGGCTCCAGGTGTGTATGTGTATTATTGTAAAATTAAATCTTGGTTAGGCCGGAGGTTGCCTTATAGATAAATAGGTCACCTGTGTGCACATTAATCCCAGTCTTAATGGGAATGTCTGTTTGAGAACATTATGAAAGAGACAAAATCACAAAGACACAGCAGATGCATCAGGGAGAAAGTTGTGTAGGTAATAAAGCAAGGGTTATGAAATACTATCCCAAGTATCACAACACCCTATCATCACAACATAAGGAAATATGTGCTAAGGAGATGATTATTCAGAGCTATCCAGTAGGTCTTTGGTAACTTTATCAGAATTGCAGAAATCCATCGCTCAGCTCTGACAATCAGTGGCGCCTCCACAAATGTTTCATAGGGGTTGCCAGATGGGGCCACTAAAAATCTTGGGTGGCAAACTAAAAGCCAACATTTCTGGTTTTGAATCTACTACTGTGGTAAACCTGCCTGTAGACATCATAAAGAGTCCAGTAAACACATATCTTGGTTTATTGTGTGATTTTTAATATTACGTCTCTGGTTCTGCATAATAGGATGAAATGCTAAACTTATTTATGCACCATAAATAAACTTATGGGAACAAGCACAAACTGTTGCAGGATCTAGGATACGCACACACAGACCTATGTCTGTCTTACCCTAAGGTAAAATGGAGGAAATGATAGCTTTGTAAGAAGATTGTATTTTTTTGTCCCCCAGTCATATATTTGTCACAAGAAGAGATTAAATGTTAGCAGTGTGTGTGTATCTTTGTGTGGAAAGAGCCTATGAGAAATCCTGTTCTGTATTGCTCCATGTTATCCGAGCTCAATGGTTTTCTGTTGATATTACATCAGACGTGAGGCCAGACAAAGTTTGCCTGCTGCAACAGAAATATCTTTGCAGATTTAAATGCTAACCTTTAAAATCTGTGCTAATCTCACAGCACTGCGAATGCGCCGAGGTTCAACTAAGAAGCACTCAGTACATCCAGCTCATACAAGTCTGATTCTGGTTGAAAGGCCCTTTTGGACATGCAAGGGAAGAGAATTGATTCAGTGGAAGTTTTTAGCTGCCAAAAATTTCATCAGCAGCAAAGTCAATCAAACAGGAAACTGTCCAATGAAGTATTAACATTTCTTGATCTTTTTTAATATTTGTTCATGTTATAAGCGAAGGCTTCTTTGTACCCCCTGGTTTTAATTAGATTAATGAAAAATTATGAAGAGGAAGGTAAAGGAAAAAGATGTCAATTTGAACCTTTTTTGAAATTAAAACTAAAAGGTGTTGCATATGTGTTTGTTTACAGGTTTTCTGAGTAAATACTTTTTAAAATCAGCTTTCTTAAACATTAAGTGTTTTGCCAATTCTCCTTTACTTTTGTTTCACTTTATTTTCATATACTGGTCTATGGGTAAATCTTAGCAAAATATTTTTTTTTACAAAGCTTCTTTTTTCTTTCACTTGCAAAAAAATGCCACTAGGTGGCAGTATTGCACTCTCTCTTTAACTGTCATTAAGATTACCCAGGTCTTGTAATAACTCAGCAGTGGCATCTTCACACCTGGACAAAGTAAATATTTCCAACACATGCAAAACCTAAAATATAAAGTGATATTTTAAATTTTTTGGTTTTTATTTTGGGAGGTTTATTAGAAGCGACATGTTATCACGTAAAGCTGTATGAAAACAAGCACCTAAAATACAGGAGTCCTCCAGAGCAGATCCAGAATGTTTCAAAATATCTAAAATGTAAAAAGTCATGCACATTTCCAGGTTAGTAGGCCTTTCGTTTTTGTGCTTATTTTAATGTGATAATTATATTAAGCTCAAAGTCAGTCTTGCAGATGGAGCAACAGGGCCCTGACCTAAATGTGGTGAGATGGAGGTGTTCCTAATTAAACAACTCCAACATCATTCGTCCCTTACTGCTGGCAGATTGTAATTTATGTCAGGTTCATTGGGTCCACAAAGAAAAGTGTCTCTTGTAACTGGTGGTGTATTTTTAGAATTCCAGCTGGGTAAAGTAAACATGCTGCAGAGTTTTTATGATCCTGTACAAACTGAGGCGCCTCATATCTGCTCTGTTCTGGTCAGCCCGTTAATGTCTTTTATTTGATGGACTCTACCTCATCTGAAACGGGATTGCTCGTAAAGCTTACCTCATGAATGGAACATCTACAAACCTACAATGTATCCTATGACCAACACTAAGAAGGAGAGTACTGTATTCATGTTTTTTTTAATCTGATATCCTGAAATAAAATCAAGTAAAACTAAAATCCCTTAAAAGTCAATTTATTAGGAAATAGATGTGTGTGTAATTTAATCTTAGCATGAATGCAACTCCAGTGTGGAGGCCTCATTAGTGGACAAACAGACCCATAAAGACCAAAGGGCGCAGCAGAAAGGCCAAGGAGACGGATGTACAGATGTTTGAAGCAGCAAGATAAGGTTATAAAATAAAATCATGTTTTGGACATTGTATAGAATACTGTTTAATCCATTAAACAGTATTTAATACACAGTTCCAGACCTATGAAGAGGTGACCATCTGTTTTTACTGACAGGTCTGTAAAGGACAGCAATGACCTGCTAAGGCTGCTACATACTCCCCAAAAGTAATTCAATTCAGTTTAATTTAATTCAGTTAATTTATATAGAGCCAATTCACAACACGCCATCTCAAGGCACTTTACAGAGACAATTCAATTAGATCATGCAGTCAAACTGATTCGAAAGTTTTCTATCTAAGGAAAACCAGTTGATTGCATCGACTCATTGATTCAAAGGCAATCCCTCCCACCATAGAGTGTGAGTGCACTCAATGGCATAAGAACTATTGAGGAATAATTTATTTTCTGCTTATTCTCTCTGTGTTGTCTTGGGTTGTTTTAGACACAACAACCTGGCAGAACTTCTTTTTTTTTCTAGTTAGCAATGAAGAAGGCCAGGCTAACTCTGGAGGAGCTGCAACGATCCAAAGCTCAAACAGAAGAATGTCGACCTCACAACTTGAATCTATTTTTAATGGAAGACAGTCAAGAAAAATAATATATTTGCTTACAGTTTGCCACAAAGCATGAAAGAAACACAGGAGACCTGACAGAAAGGGTGCTCTGGTCACATTAGTCCAAGTTCTAAGACTTAGAAGTGATACAGACAGATGTAAAATAGAAACAACGAATGATTTAAATTAGTGTAGTTTAGGTCTAAACCTAAATTCACAAAAAAAAAAAAAAAAAATTAATTATGCTGCCAATTCGATCTGACCAAGCTTTCATTCTCTACGTGCACAAAGCTGACAGAAACCCCAAAAGACCTGCAGCATAAGGTGGTGAGGCTTAATATTAACCCATCGGGTTGAATGACAACACTTAAGATATGTATAGGTCATTCCATTTTCCCCTCTTTCATAATCATGTCCTAAATCGATCCACTCCACACTTTTTGTGGTACTACATTGGACACTATAAACATCCCAAAACATGCACTTCTTTTTCCTACATCCCATCCTAATATAGCAAATCAGATCATGGTTGGAGTTTGAAAAAGTGACCAACATTGATGGGGGGTGGGTGGGTGATATATAATGTCTCAAAGCGCTGTAGGACAGCTATTTATGTAAGAATCGGGTCAGATTCTTCAGAGAGGTGTCTTGCATAGTTTACAGCAGAATATGAACAGGAAACAGAGCTGAGCTCCTCCTCCCAGCAGCTGCCAGGCTCTGATTGCAGCTAGCTGCCTGGACAAGTCACTTCCCAATATAGAAGTCTGATAACAGAGCCCAGGAATAAGGATTCAGCCCTGAGGACTGGATCAGAACCTACTCTGACGTCACAGGACGTGTTGCACAGCATACAACCACAACAAACATCTGTAAACATCCAATCACTGCATGGATCCCTGCCATAACAACCTCAATGTAAATTGTTAGTTTGGATCCCAGATTAATCTGCC